AGGTGGTTGTTTTAGCTAGGAAGTAGTTATAGGCAGGTAGAAGTTATAAACAGGTAGTAGTTATAGATTAATGGTAGTTATATACAGATGGTAGTTAAGGACAGGTAGAAGTTATAGATTAATGGCATTTATTGACAGGTGGTTGTTATAGACAGGTGGTAGTTATAGACAAGTGTTATTTATTGACAGGTGGTAGTTATAGACAGGTAGTAGTTATAGACAGGTAGAAAATAAAGATTAATGGCAGTTATAGACAAGTGGTAGTTATAGACAGGTCGTCGTTATAGACAAGTGTTATGTATTGACAGGTGGTAGTTATAGACAGGTGGTATTTATAGACAAGTGGTAGTTATAGACAGGTCGTCGTTATAGACAGGTAGTAGTTATAGACATGTCGTCGTTATAGACAGGTGGTAGTTATAGACAGGTGGTAGTTATAGACAGGTAGTAGTTATTGAATAATGGTAGTTATGTACAGGTGGTAGTTATAGACAAGTGTTATTTATTGACAGGTGGTAGTTATAGACAGGTGGAAGTTATTGACAGGTGGTAGTTATAAACAGGTGGAAGTTATTGACAGGTTTAGTTATAAACAGGTGGTAGTTATAGACAGATGTAATTATAGACAGGTAGTTGTTATAACCTATGTCATTGCAAAATTGAAGGCTCGGTGTGGGCCACCTTTTTCATGAGACAAGAGGACTAGTTCGATTCTTTGATGTACATAAAAAGAATCTCGCGGTCACGCAACGATAAAAAAAGTCTTTGAAGTCTGGCGTCTCTCCTTTTTTATCTTCAAAGGACAGGTATCAACCTCGCGATTGGTCAGTTTTTTTTACCTGAGACCAATCAAACAGCTATCTTTGTGCCTTCAATTTTGCTATGACATATTCCAGGGGTGGAGAGAGCGAAAGTGTGCGTACCCCCTGGATATCGAGGATGGTAGCAGTTATAGACAGGTAGTAGTAATAGACAGGTGGTAGTTATAGTCAGGTGTTAGTTATAGGCAGGTGGCAGTTATAGACAGGTGGTAGTTATAGACAGGTGGCAGTTATAGACAAGTGGTAGTTTACCACTGTTGTAAGTTATAGGCAGGTGGTAGTAATAGACAGGTAGTAGTTATAGTCAGGTAGTAGACTAGTTATATGCAGGTGGTAGTTATAGACAGGTGGTAGTTATAGACAAGTGGTAGTTATAGACAGGTAGTAGGTATAGGCAGGTGGTAGTTATAGACAGGTGGTAGTTATAGACAGGTGGTAGTTATAGACAAGTGGTAGTTATAGACAGGTAGTAGTTATAGGCAGGTGGTAGTTATAGACAGGTAGTAGTTATAGTCAGGTAGTAGACTAGTTATATGCAGGTGGTAGTTATAGACAGGTGGTAGTTATAGACAAGTGGTAGTTATAGACAGGTAGTAGGTATAGGCAGGTGGTAGTTATAGACAGGTGGTAGTTATAGACAGGTGGTAGTTATAGACAAGTGGTAGTTATAGACAGGTAGTAGTTATAGGCAGGTGGTAGTTATAGACAGGTAGTAGACTAGTTATACGCAGGTGCTAGTTATATGCATGTGGTAGTTATAGACAGGTGGTAGTTATAGACAGGTGGCATTATGGACAGGTAGTAATTATAGACAGGTTTTCCAAACATACATTTAGAATGTTTACATAGGTAATAGATGTAGACAGGCGATTATATTAGACAAACAGTTCGTTGACAAAATCTTTCATAGCGTTTGATATTGCAACAAATTCTTATAATCTATGTATTTATTCAGGGGATTGATAAATATACTACAGAAACAAAATTAGAACTTATTACGGAAAAATCTACCGAAATCAGAGCCTCGGGTTAGACAACCAAAAACTTGACATCACCCCTCGGGTTGAAGATTTCTCTGTCACACCCTCCAGGTAGGGGGAGATTCTATCAGTCATCCCCTGGGAGGAGATAGCATCGTGCAGGATGACGAGATCTAAGTCATAACAATGGTATGACGTCACGTCATCTATGCATTGACGTCACGTCAACAGTAGCAGACCATGGAAGACAACTCTGGATTGCTGGGAAAGCATACACTCAACGCTTGTATTTATCCGTATCCTACCACTGTTGTATTGAAAAATTCGTATCCTACCACTGTTGTATTGAAAAATCCGTATCCTACCACTGTTGTATTGAAAAACCCGTATCCTACCACTGTTGTATTGAAAAATCCGTATCCTACCACTTTGTACGACTGGTCGAGAGAAAATATTTAGTTATGAAGATTTTACCTTAAATTCCTCTTAACTTGTCGTGTGATGGTGGTTATGTCTGTAAAAATAATTACTGATATTTGTTTTCAAAACGTACACTTATTTTGTCTATTTTACTGTTCGTTCAACTGACTGTTTTAGCTTGAGTTTTGGCCATCCTAACGTCATATTTTCTTCAAGATCTTAACGAAAGTGGCAGTTGTATTAAAACTTAAAAAAGTTATACATAAAAAATAAATAAAATGTTTTGATAATTTTCTCATATACATGTTACATAAGAGGCATTCGTCTAGTTTGTACTTTTAGGGGTCGCGGTGGCCAAGTGGCTAAGGCGTCTGACTGTTTGCTCAACCACTGGGTCGCGGGTTCGAGACCTACGTGGGGCTGTCGCCAGGTACTGACCGTACGTAGGTCGGTGGTTTTTCTCCGGGAACTCCGGCTTTCCTCCATCACCAAAACATGTTGTGACTTTAATTGACCATAGCTGTTAATAGGACATAAAACACAAACAAAACAAACCAAGTACTTTTTAATAGTTCCAAATCAGCCCTGACTGCTGGCCAATTTTGAAGACTTATAATCAATTATAAGTTGTACGTGACAACAGCAATTATAAGGTCTAAAACTGGAACACAAATGCCATATTTTAATCAATAAGTCATAAATCAAAACGACTTTTGAGATTTACTAATATTACATGTATGTTCTATCTTTAGTAAATACCTTCAATTTGATTTTGTTTTTTTAGCCATATTGATTGTTTTTTAACGTAATGCAATGATTCTTATGAAACATTTTGACAAATATATATTGAACTTTAGTTGTTGTTACTATGTCTTTTTATTCCTGATTTAGAATTTACACTTCAAAGTTGGTCAAATGTGTGAATTTTATGTTTTTCTTGATACCCAAGAGAGCTAAAAAGCATTTTCCTTGTGGTTGATAAATTATGGCCCATCTTTTTTTCTGTTTCTGTCATTTAAAAAAAAATAACATAAAATGAAAAGAACAGAAAAAAAGACCAAGAACAAAAACCGTAGACTGAAATATATTTCAGGCATATATGACTAATTTGTCTCCAGCACGCAAATCGTGCACAGGGACCTGATAATTTGTTTAAGCTATATTTTGGACCTAAACTAAGATGTTCGGAGTAATTTTACATGTTTTAGGGGTTTAGATCGACTTTTGGTAAAAAGGACACCCCAATGATCACCCCTAAAACATGTCAAATTACTCTGAACACCTTAGTTAAGGTTCAAATATAGCTTTAACAAATGTTCAGGTCCCTGTAATATCGTCGTGTTTTTATGCGGTACGTTAGTTGGCAGTCACCTGGAAATACTGTTGAATTAGAATACAATAGTGACTTCAGTGATTCTATAGACCAATTCACCAATTAATATAATATATAAAGTGACGTGCGGTAACTTTTCCATGTTATTCATTTTCCCTATGGATTTTATGTTTATTTACTTTTGGAAAATGTATCTTCATTGAGTCGTTTTTTATCAAAAAATGATGAAATTCAGTACAAAGCGGGAAAATTATCGAGCGCCTCTCATGGTTAGTTATATTAATAAAATTATCGGTTTCAAAGAATTTTAACCGTGATGGGTTTCTTTGCAAAAACTTTTTTTTTGCGGAAACATTTAATCGTGTGCCTATGGAATTGACGTAAAAGCATAACTTTTATGCTGCGGTGAAAATGATATCTCAAAAATTTAGCCACGGATTATTATTATAATATATATTCCGTCTTTGCGTATTGCAGAGTTATCTTCTCTTGTGAGCAGGTATTGATTGTTACGTCATTGGTTTGTGTGGGAAAATTACGTCGTTTTCTCAAAAATTTATGACGTTCTCTCACAAACCAATGACGTAACAATCAATACCTGCTCATAAGAGANCGAGAAGATAACTCTGCAATACGCAAAGACGGAATACATTACCAGGTGAAACACTGTGATAATTATCTAACAGAATGTCAAGCTTTAGAAAAACTTGATGTTAAACGAAGTCAAAAAGTAAATTAACATAGAATCAGAGATATATTACAATGTAATATATGTATGTCTCAGATATATATTTTAATGTAATATATATGTCTCTGATATATATTACAATGTAATATTGTAATACATATGTCTCTGCTATATTACAATGTAATATGTGAAATCTACACATATGTAACCCCGATTATTACAATGTAAGATATATGTCTCTAATATATATAACACAATGTAATATTGTAATACATATGTCTATGATATATATTACAATGTAATATTGTAATATACGTCTCTGATAGAATCCAATGGGAAAGTGCCGCAACATGATAAAAAAAAACTTGAATGGCACGTCACTGTATAGAATAACATGTTTTTTGAAATACTGGTCAAGTCCCCCAATTTTAACCCTCACTTTTGACATTCGAAATAAATATAATACGAGCAACTTGGGTTTTTTCTTTATTTTTAGCCTTCGTTTCAGTCGGAACAGCTTAAACTGCATGTAACGTTATACCTGAATTAAACCAATTTTAAACCAATTATTCCTGTTATTAAAAGAATTATTTTTAGACTTTTTAAAGTTTTGTCACACGGTTTGTCATTCATGCGAGATTTAAAAAGAATACAAGCATGAATGATAATCTATATTTAAAACTCTACAAGTGAACCCGAATCGTTACATGTGTGTCATTGTGAATTAGCTCGCAATATTAGAGTGGTTCCCCTTCTAGTTTTGGAGACATGAGCAATAGGCGGCGCTCTACCGGAACTTACTAAGGTGAGGCGGAACTGACAGGTAGGACACCGAAGAGAAGACTTTATACCGGCCAGAAACAAGTAAGTATATTTATTTTTGTATAAATATCAAGCTGTAGTGTTAGACATGTTTTGTACTTTTGTAGTAATAGGTCATTTATTGACATTTTGATGTTGGCAACACGCCGAAGAGGGGAAGGGTAGACATTGATATAGGGACGGGTGATTATTGCTACCACCCAACAAAAAAGGATTTTTTTCTTAATTTTGCCTCTAGTTAATATCAATTACTCAGTCATAACAGCAACTTAGCTTTTAAGTTTACTTGTGAATGACTCCCATTGACGTCATTATATGGTAGAATTTTCTAGAATACTGAAAGCACATGTGTATGCAACAAGTAAAGGGAGTTCCAAAATGGTGTCGGATCACGTGATCTGACAGACAGCCGGCTTTGCCCGTCCCACTTACCGCGTGATTTCACAAGGTCCATTTTCACGGAGATCACTGATGCAGACAACGGCCACCATCTGACATCCAACGGACACTACTCAATTTCTAAAAGGTTTGGCATTTGGAAAAAAACATGATTATAACTGGTTTGGTAGTATTACATGACAAATATGATAATTTGTAGCAAAATATTTCATTGGTATGACACAGGAAGTCTAGCCATGATGACCTAATATGACTAACACAGTCGGAAAATGGAGGAAGTGAATTTTTACACACCCCATTGTAGGGTTAACAGGCGATTTCATAAAATATACGAAGGATAACATTTGTTTGCATACACATTTGCTGTTAGTATGTAAAAGTAACTTTGATGAAAGTCCTTTTTGTAAATAAACGTCATGATTTACGATCAAGATGCTTTTCGGTGAACAATGTGCGATCATTCATTGTATTTTCCCATTTGTAGTGGAAAACTTGCACAAGAAAACTTGGATAAGAAGCTTCTTATGAAACTGAATGTTTATTTTTTCGTTTAAACATCGATAACACTGTAGTGTACATATCAGTATTTGTTCTTTATACTTCTAATTTCTCTGTGAAAATATAAAACCTTGCTGAAGCAACTACGGCAGTAGAGACGGGAGACTGGGTTGATTGGTACCCTCCGTTTTTGTCAGCTCGAGCACAATTTATCAATAATCATTTTTAGCCCAACATCATCAGATTGTGGGCTTCCAAATAACCTTTCATCCATCATCCATCCATCTTCAATGATTCCTGTAACTGCCTTGTGGGCATATAGTGTTTTGACATTTCAAATTTTGTTAAGCAATGGTCTAATGTAGGTTCTCCCAAGTATTGAGGCTGATAGAAACAAGACGGCCAGAAGATAACCATCTTTAATTTTCACGTTATAAAAGTTTGTTAGTGGCTATTTCTTGGAAAGGACTGGGGGGATCTTTCAGAGACCCTATTTCGATGGCTCATGCATGTACGTTGTAAATGCACCTTTCATTTTCAACTTCATATGGGGGGGGGGAATGATAGACAATAGACAGACATTTTTATGTTAGCTATGTTTTTGGTGTGTATTACTCTGTTCAGAAAATAAAGTTCAAATCTTCCTGAATTTCATAAGTAGGTTCGTCCTGTTACCTACATTTGCATATTAGAGAAAAGATCAAGCATACATAAGATTAATCAATATCATAATATGGCATGGGTGCCAAGATACAGCAAGTATCTCTTGCATTGTTTCCTGTTCAAGCTTGAAGACACTCCTGAACACGCTAGTAATTGAAATCAGTTTAAGTGACGTTTTTTTGGATTGGGACAAACAGATCACATTGCTTAAAGGATTGGTTGTATAGTGTAGTTTGTCAGTTTATTCCGACTTCTTGGCATTCTAATATAAACTAGGGTGGTGTTCAAGTTTTGTCGCAAAGACCACGAGAGTCGGGGAGGAAAACACTACCCAATATACATTTCCCATTCTGTGTGAAAGTGAACACATTAATTCATAATTTCTTCTTCCAATTCATCCTTTGATTATGATATGTTGACAATTGAAGTAATATTCTTTCCTTCTGTTGAAAAATGATCTTATAGATAATTTTCATCTACATTTATATCTGAGCATGATTTTTTACCAATCCTTAGGCACATTTTAATGGAAAACTGACCACCATCTTCTTAAAGAATATGATCAAGACTTCAAGTTGTTACAAATTAAGCGGTTACTTTAGAAATAGACTTAAAATTACTGAAAAGGGTCCATATTGCTGTTAGCTTCAAGGATTTTCTATGCTTGTATGTGATTTCCTCAACATTGAGTCACTCAATAAGGCAGGTTTTACTGTATCAATATCCTGAAATTGAAATTATTTCCTTTCAATTCGAAAAAAACGAGTTTACATCTCATCCTTTAGCAAGTTGAGTAATGTCATCATGCTCAAACAACAATCATGCAACATTAACTCATTCACCCCTACAATTTTAAACTGGACTTGTCCAATCATTGATTTGGTAAAGTTCAAATGTGACGTTAAGGGTGAAATGGGTCAACGTGTCACATGACTTGTATTGCTAGTTTTTCAGAAACAAATAGTAGTATATGAAAGAACTGTAGGAAGTAAATAATAGTTAATAACTTGTATGAAAAAATATCGATGATTTCAATTCTGTTTTATAAAAAACAATAGTACTAAACTGCTTTGTTTTGCCTCGCAATTAAAGTGTGATAGTTGTCTTCTATAGCAATCGGCCTATAAATTCTGTTCTGTCTGAACTTGTACATGCATATATATATACCATATACCAACATATGTCATCGATATGTCACACTTGTGGTCATATTTCACTGGAATGCTTGCCTTGAAAAAAATATATATACCTTTAATAAATTTCGAATGTCTTTGATCAAAAATAGAATTTTGATGACACCATCACATTTCCTGTTATCACTGTTGTGGATGTATTTCTTGACAGATTTTCATTATTTAATTAGAATGTACGAACTACTTTAGAAAATGTACGTATTGTGCATCAAACAGAGAAATGCAGCCTCTGGAGCTATCCGTAAATTTTCCATTTCATTGCTTATGAACATACGTCGGAAGTAGGGGTGTCGCGTTTAACCGCGGTTCAAAAGACTGCGGTACAGTTCGTAATTTCCGTATTTCGGTTTGGTCCTGTATAAGGGCACGTGGGTCGTAGTTATTTGGTAGCAGCAAAGGGGTGTAATATTTGTGTCATATCTCCATCTATTCAAGCCTCTGACTCCGTAGTCATGTAACCGCAATAATAAGTACGACTGTTTACATGTGTTCTTTAGGATGGTTTGAAATGGCAGCTTCGACTTGGATTTCCTCGTTGCAGGCGGTCTTGTGCACAGCACGGTAACTGTACACTGGATATATGTATAAACACAAATTAAACACTTCTCGTGATTTACCGCTTCAATCAATGCCGGCCTATATATCTAATATAACTTGGAAATCAGCAGCTACAAACGAAACTGGATTCAACACATGGGGCCAGTGCAGAAAACATGACATTTTTTTAATTTAAGTAGTAACTTAAATTCAAACACAATACCAGTAGTAAAAGTATGATTCCTTTTTTTTTTTTAAACAATTGACAAAAACATAAAAAAATATCTTTCTTGAAAATTTCAATAAATATTTTGGGTAGGGATTTTTTTTTGTTTTTTGTTCACGGTGAATCTATGTGTCTGATTGGCTTATGGCACATGGTACAACTGAACCAATGAAAAGCGTTGTAACTTTTAACAAAGCAATAGACGGCAAAAAATGGCTGTCTGGCGTTATTGTACATGTCTATATATAGCTTTTCAGGTTTCCCCTGGACCATTGTATCTATTCATACTTTGGTGGTACCTCAGGTGTTTGGCCATGTTTAAATTGTTTCCCTATTAACCCTTTCACTACTGTGAATCGTAATGGACTCGTACAGATAAATGTATGGTAGAGTGCTAAAGTTACCTAGGGGTCAAAGGGTAAATAATGTATAGATCCTCTGACCACAAAGCAAATTTTACATGCTGATAAACATCATTTCGGATCAAAATCCAATATACTTGCATACAGCAGATCAGAATTTAGGGGAAATCCTTTGGGTTCACCAACTCATCAGTCCTGAAGATAGCACTTGAAAATGAGACTAAATTTTTTTTTTTGGTAGCCAGGATTTTTTTTATTTAACTGTCCAAAATTAGAAGTCTCCCACCACGATAGATGGGCCAGGACGCGAAAATGATTGACAGTGCTGCAATGCGATTAAAGGAGAAATAAAAGATACCATAGCACATCAATAGATTCCTGTGAAGAACCGCTAAACCTTATTTTATATTGTCGTATCCTTTAAATTAATACCTTTTCTTAGTGAGCATATGTTGTACTAAATGTAGGTTTCTTTTTAAAAATGTTGCATTGCTTTTTTCTTTCTTTGTACTTACTACAGTGCAGTTTATATCAATTGTATGTAAAATTAATAAAAAAATAAAATAAACTGTACATTGCTTTTGTCTTTGTTTTTTCGCAATTAATATCTTCGGGTTTTTTAGGAGGAATCACAAGCACTTTTAGTTTGTAAGACTTTGTAACATCTTTCATCGGGGGAGCTTAAAATGCTCAAAGGGGGCTGAAAGTGCAAGTAATTTCTGTTTTGTGTTCTCTTTATTTTATCAGTACTAAATCACACAAAGACATGATATATATGTATATGATTATTCTGGTTGTTAATGACCCCAGTTGCCGTTGGGTCGCTTAAACAAAAACAATCATTGTGTTGCATATATACTATTTACCGGGAAATGTTCTCTGTAGTTGAATTTTCACCTCCATAAAGAAGTAGAATTGATCATTTAATACAGCAAATACAATTAAACAGTAATTAACGTGAAGGACGAAAGTTGTTTTCGTGGGCGAAGGACAACATTTTGGACTGGGCAAACATTTCCTGGTATTCGGTATGTGTACTATGTTGAATATATAGGCTTCCGAATGAAGAAATGAATACAGGGAAACAGAGCCCATTCATTGGATTTTTTGCTTCCTTTTATATGCCCAGTGCGCGCAATGATCACATTTTGTAAAGATCATTATTTCAATAAACTTGTAATGTCCTGAAGTTGGTGTAGTTCACTGCTGTGCGATGTGCAGAATGAACTGTGTCGTGAATAAGGGCCGTAGACTTCCAGAAGATTACATTTAGCTCAGTCTGTTGCCTAGAAAGGAGGCCTCTGGATATTCTCAAGCAGTGATCACCTTCAAGAATATGGTGAGATGCTTATGAACGTACTGCATGCACTTGATGTCTGGCTACTGAACTGGCATTTCTGTGATCAGCTAAATGTGGTGTGTGTGCAGTTCAGAAGAGTTTGTCCAATTGTTATCGTGTATTTTGTTAGTGCCATGGTTCTTGTTAGATTGCTACTGGTGTCATTGCACTGTATGTTATATAACCATAACTGTTACGTACATGCCTGCGTTGATGGCGTTTGTCTTACGTCTGCGTAAGACGTTGATGCTGATGCTGTGTCTATGATCGACATCTGTAAACTCCTTATGGCGATGGAGGATACCAGGG